CTTTGGATGAAAGCATCAGCTAAATGAATAAATGGAAATGTATAGACTATTTAGAAATTTAAGCATTTTTATAGAGAGTGAAAACATCGATTTAAGCTACAAATGAGGGATGTACACTCACCAGCAGCAGGTGCAGCCCCAGCTCCAGCGGCCCCACCAGCAGCAGCAGCAGCAGGAGCCGCCACAGCACCACCTGCTGGTACGGAGGCTAACTTAGAGAGGCCTGCAGAAAAAACAAAGAACAGAATTTAGCCATCTTCCATGTATGACATATTGAAATCTTCAATGTATGTTTACAGAGAGGCCTTTACCTGAGTTCATGACTTCATTGATGTCTTTCCCATTCAGCTCACCAATGACCTGTAGAGTAACATAAGATTTAACTTCAGCCATGCAGCATCTTAAGTAGGAAAAAAATAAATCATGTTTTGGTACTTGCATAATATACAGATGTAAAAGGGGCATACCTTGTTTAAGCGTTCGTCATCCGCCTCAATTCCCACGCTGCCCAAGATGGCCTTGATGTCTTTCGCAGAGGGGCTGGTATTTCCACCGAGAACAGCCAGGAGGTAAGCGGCCACGTAACGCATTCTGTATCGACAGAGAAGACACAAAATTACAGTTGAAGAAATTGTGTGCGACTCTGCAAGTTATGCAACACTGATGTCAAGTCTGGTAAAATAATAGAATGACATCTCAACTTATGTGTTAAAACCTGCTGGAACCTTCCTTTTTTGTGAGTTAAAAAACAATAATTAAAATATATTACTTCCTTTTGCAGATTTCATCAACATCTGAAATTGCTAATTCAATCATTTAGAGCTGAAATGACTAGCAGATCGTCATTAAAATCAATTAGCAATTATTTTGTTATCCGAGTCATTTTTCATGTCTTGCATCAATGTATACTGTACACTATTTGGGTTTTGGACTATTTGTTGGACAAAATTAGCAATGTAAATATATCAACCTCTTGTAAACTGTGTTACCATTTTCTTACATTTTATTGACAAAATCAAATAAACATACAAAAATGGCAAAACAAAATGCTGACCTACTGTAAGTTCACGTAATCAGACTTATTTTATCTCGCCAACAGTCCAAACAAGTTGCCCATTAACTAAGTAATTGACTATTCATGCACCTATAATTGTGGTATCACCAAAATCATTAGACAAAATATTGTATGATTCTTTAACTAATGCACATTTCCTTATTTTCTGTTCAGGCCCTAAATTTAGTATCTTGTTATTGAGAAATAGCCTCCTCTTGCATCTCACATCAGTGCTTATAATCACCACTAGGAGGCTGAAATACATGGTTTCCACAATTGTTCATTAACGTTAACTAATAGGCCGACCCACCATTCATGTGAACGTGAATAAAGTAAACATCGCTAAGCACATATCGCGTACATAAAATTACAGAGGATACTTAGCACACAAAATGGTCTGAATATTGTAACATTAGTTATCTTACAATAACACAAGTGCGTCCATTATGCTTGGGAGGGGCCTAGTTGACGTTAGCTTGGTTAGTTAGCTTTGGCTGTCCGTATATAAAAAACGATGTTTAGACTAAAGTCAAACACAGACAGGATGACATGAAATAAAGGCCGGTGTGTATTTCAGTCTTTACAACTGTACTTTCTACTTCTCCAGCAGTGCTTTACCATAATGCAACGGTTATATGTAACGTTATGAGTGATTAAGCGCTAACAGACGGAGCATGGCGCCCAGTGTCTTAATATAACTGCCCTCCATTTGTCACAGAGGTTTCTGCGCCAACAACACTACGTTTTCAGTTATTAAAAGCAACTGTTGAGGACGTGTCGAAACAGAAACACTGTGAGACATGAAGCAATCGACACACCGTTTAAATTATTCAAATACTGACTTACTTTTAAGTCTAAACAGACACGAAACGTCGGTCACGCTTTTGAAGAAATCTGGAAGAGAGACAGAGGCGGTACCGGAAATTGAAGAAGAGCAGAATGCGTCGACTTCATTGGTCCATTTGGATGACGTTGGCATTTCCATAAAACAATGAATGAAAGAAATCTCTTCCCTTTATCTCATAATTTACTCACACTATGTATTTTACAACTTGTTAATATAATATAAACTGTTAACTGTGTTAATAAAATCACTGTTTTATCATTATTTATTATTATGAGTTATTTCTCACCATCGTTTTTGCTACAGGTGATAAATAGAATATTCTCCAGTGAAGACAGGCCATATAATGCGTGTTGCCTTTCTTTCCCATTTATTCTCACCTTTCTGTTCTCACTTGGTTTAAACTCCTTCTATTAATTTGATTAATTTTTATTGGTTTATTATTACTTTAGCATTTTGGGAAGCAGCATTTTAATTAATTCAATATGTATATAATTTAATTATTTTGTAGGTTAATCTATAACAATGAATCATTTTTGAGCTGATTATATAATTTTTATTTAAAATCTTAACCTTCAAAGTAACTGGTAACTATACGTCAAAGAAATGTAATGGAGCGACGGGTATAATTTGTTCCTCTAAAATGGAAGAGAAGTATAAAGTAGCATGTAACTAACAAATACTCAAGTAAAGTACAACTACCTCAAAACTGTACAGTACTTGAGTAAACTAGTAGAAGAGACTGAATTTAGCAGAGGTTACTTTAACCCCCTGAAACCTAATATTTCCCTTTAAAGTGTCTCTTCAATTTAAGGGCATCACTTTGCGTTGAAAAGTGGTGGAGACCTAAGGGCTGAGATTAGGGGTGACAAGAAGTGATGAGGCACAATATTAGGTTCATGAGAACGAGACAAGAAGTTATTTTAACACTATTTTGCAGAAACGTTCAATGCTGAAATATGAGTGGAGGGTTTTTTCAGCTTTAAACACTTAATTGCCTTTATTCTGGAGACATTCAGCACCAATTTATGGTGGCAATGTCTTTATTTATATAAAGGGAAACAGAATTCAGGTGGCAGGTGACAATTCAAAGTCAATACATTTTTTTTTGGCCGATGCACATTTGTTTCTTCTATATTGACATTGCATTGCATGTTTCTTATTGTGCAAATAAACCGGTTGGTTAACATTTCATATTGCTAGCTGTTTTTCAGAACATTTTAACAAATGCTTTCAAAAAGTGATGGGGACAAAATCAGCCATTTCAAAAAGTGGTGGGGACAAGTCCCCAGTGTAAATGACACCTATGCTTCAATTACTTTAAATTTGGAAATTTACATTGTATATCGCTTATACATATTCTCCATCTACTCTGACATCAATTTAAACAACTTTTTATAGAGAATCAAACTAGGAAAGATTTATACTGATTTGGCATTTTACAATGCATGTTGCTTTGTTATCAGGCTGAACAGAACATGTTAATTAGGCTGTTGAATACACAAATGAGACAATACACAGTCGATTGCATACATTATTTATTTCCATTAATTCACCATCAAAAATTAATTTGAGAAATCATTAATACATTGCAGTATCTCCAGTTAAGATGTAGCTATAAGTTGATTCTTTACTTGACATTTGTAATACCACATGTGCCTAAAACATTGTAGAAAATACATAATACAACCAAGCAGTCAACTTCTATTAACAACCTACAATTCAGCCAACTCCTCCTGTCTGTCCTGGGTGAAGAGCCAGTTGAACAGAATCACAGCTGACTCTGACACAAACTCTGCAACCTTGTTTTTGTTTGTCACATACCACATTTTATAGACAAATTCTCCCAGGAACACAAGCAAACACGTCATCAAGAACCCAAGGAAGATGCGGTCCATATAAAAGTTTGCCTTTTCTCTGGTGGTCCACTGCTCCCAAGGTAGCGCACGACGGGCTTCAACATATTTGCCGAAGTGTAACAAGGCTTCATCGTCCACCTCTTCCTGTGGATCTTCCAGGTTTTGGCCACTGTCTTCTCCGTCCGTGTCAGCCATTTTACAGTGGATTGATACTGAAAATGAAAGTTTTCTTCAGTTGTCTGAAAATATTAACACAGATAATTAATATTAAAGTATCATCATTGCTTTTGGAAACTAAAGTACAGATCGTGTCTCTTATGGAGCTTCACACATCTTTTATTCACATCATGTTTTAGGATGAATGTGAAGGCTCTTACCTCAAAGAAGATTTGTTCAGGATGAAGACAAGATGTGCACACAAAATGGAGACTTTCGCCTTTTTGTCTCCACACCTACACCATTCTTGTGCCCTTTCAGCATTCGGTAGGCCACCAGCCACAGGAGTGTGTGCTGCGAAGGCAGTAAACAGCAGGTTTCACAGCACCTACCTCACTAAGACGAGGGCTGGGGATTAGACCACACTTAGCAGTTTGAAATCCCTCAACAAGGATAAAGGTGACAGCTGGAGAAATACGTAGAGATACGTTTGTGAGGGAGGGACAGACAGAGACAGAGATAGAGGGTGAACATTTCAGATGACAGCAAGTTCACGCGAAACTATTTAACCGTAGAAGTCTCACCAAATACCTGACAGGTGAATGTACATAAATGTGAGCAAAATAAATTTATCAGTGGACCTCACTGCAATATACACACAAAATCCATATATCATATGATAAAAAACATTTAAACATTTACAATCTAAACCAAATTAGACATTTTTTCTTATGCATTAAGTTCTGTGAGTGGAAGTAGTGTGATATGGACTGAAACCAGAAAGAAGTCAAAGTGATGACAAAGCAGAACTGACACAGCTTGGCTTAGACAAAGCTTTAGAGTTGAAATAAATCACTTCAGCATAATGCTCTGTGGGTAATTTACTTGAATGCTTCCGAGCCTTTTCAACACCATGCCACAGCTATTGAAATATAACTTAGACTAGCTGAATTAGCAGAAGAGGTATCTGCACCAAGTGATAAAGACTAATTGCTAGATTACTTTTATGTTGCCAGAGTTTTGCTCCATTTGGTTAAGTGACTTTATTGTTAAAGAAAATCACAGTCAAAAATGTGCAGACAGGACCTTTTCACTTCTCTGTATATTGAATTTTTGAGTTTTCCATGAAACACAAAATTGCAGAACACACTGTGCTCTCTATTGACCTTACCCCCCCAAAAAATGATCTCATTCAGACTTCTGCTTTGTACATATGCCTACTCAAACATCCACTGTAACATTCTTTGTTCTAGATCTAATCTCATCTAATCAGTCTTAGCTGTTTAGCTCTATACGGCAACGTCGGTCTATCAGCCTATCTGACCGTCCACCACTTGAATTTTGCTCAGACATGTATGAAGCCCTGAGGGATGAATCCTAATGAATTTGGTGATCCCCTTTCTTTTCTTCTAAGTGAAAGTTTTCCCTTATCCAGTGAAATATCGCAACATCGCCAGGATGGGTTGTCATGAAAGTTAATACAGACCTTCATATTCCCTTCTGTATGAATTGAAATAACTTTGTTGAACCTTTGAATATTCATCAAGCGCCATCATAATGTAAAAATTTCAATTTGTGACCAAATACTAATTATAAAATGTTAGCATGGTAACACACTAAACTCAGTGCATTTACCTGCTTAGCATCAGCATGTTAGCATTTAGCTCAAAGCACCGCTGTTCCTTAATACAGCCTCACAGAGATGCTGGCCTGGATGTAGACTCCAAAATGTATTTAAACTGATTTGACAGAAAATTAAATGAAGACACTATGAATGTTTATTTTGGTGAATTTACCACTAAGCTTTTTGAACATGAAATGTTTGTAGTATCACTTATTATGTTGACATACAGTAGATATTATAATTCAATATGAATCAATCAAGGAAGCATTAAGTGGAAACAAAATAATGCATTTTTTTCTTGCAGGATCAAAATCTAACAATGTCAAATAAATATGAATAGGTCAGAAATGAACTTGGCCCATGAGTACTTTGTTGTGTCTGTTAATAATAGTGGGTTGATATTCTAAATAGCGCATAATCCCACAAGTGTCAATGTAAATCATGTACACCAAGAGTACTGCAGGTATTGTTACAGGTTTCCACCCACTTTCTCCGTCAGGCCTGGTGTGCTGGTGGGGCACATGGTGGGCTCTGTGGGTTTACATAACATGCAACGGTGAGTGATCTTTATCAGTGTGACACGAAAGGGCTTTATCCTGAATGCATAAACCATGGGGTTGAGTGCTGAGTTCACATGGGACATGAAAATGCCTACATACATGGCAAACTTGGGTATATAACACTTTGGGCAGAAGAAGTTGATGCAGTTCATGATATGTATCGGCAGCCAACACACAGCAAAGAGGAAGACCACCAAGGCCAATGATTTGGCCAGTTTCAGCTCCTTCCGATAGTACCTGTCTCCGTCACCGTCACAAGTGGCTTCAGCACGACGGTTGAGCTGTCGCCGGATCACCCTAAAGATCTCCACATACAGAGCAATCATAATCGACAGCGGTACCACCACCCAACCAAAGAAGTTGAAGTACACCATGTAGTCCATCCTCATGACAGTGGTGAATTCACAGATAATTTCGCTGGAAATGCTGATGTTTCCTTGAGCATCACGGTTATTCCATCCAATCATCGGAACCAATCCAGTTAGGAAGGAGAGAATCCAACACAGACAAACTGCCACATATGCCCTCCTCTGGGTCACTATGGTGTTGTACCTGGGCAGGGTTATTGGAGAAGAAATGAAGACACATTTTTCAATCACCCAAATGCACACATCCATACTACTGGATTAGTATTTCTTTGAACAAATGCCAGTCCATAGGTTATTATTCAGAAGCATTTTCCTCAAGTGCCAGCTTCTGACATCAAGCTCCAACTGATGAACAAAAAGTAGTATGGACTGTCTCTTAACAAATGTCAGTTACTTAGTCAGACAAGGACATTTCAATTTGCTTAAAAGCTTTTGAGGTCCAGCCCATCGATTTGCATTGAATCAAGCAACGATATATGGTGCAATGTCAGACATAAACAATAAGAACTTCCTCCTCTTGATTTACTCTGAGGCTAAAAGCACACATTTAGCTCTCTGATGCTAAAGGCAATGAAAGGTTATGATTAGAGGCTATTGTTACTTTTGTGTTCTTCTAAAATATTATATTATTCCTGGAGCAACTTTTTCTTAAAGATTATCCAAAAATGATTTAATTTGCTTTTATGAGAAAGGAGTTAAATTCAGTGATTCTCACCAACATATTGTTTCTAAGTACAATCTAAGAAACATTTTTGGGTTATATAAATAAAAAAATACTTTCTAGTGAATAGAGTTTGATAAATAAATAGCGCTTATGTCAATAACATATTTCAGAGTAGGGATAGTTTGGATCATACTTTCATTTTAGCAAGAAAGCTGCAATGGACTGGAGCAGGCAATCACTTCCTGTTGCTCTAAGTATGTTGTGAATATATAATTGTTCTTACCACAAACGCTGTTACTTACTACTTTGACTGCAATAGTTTTCCAGACAGTGGCATCACAATATTCATTATGCAGAACAATCTTAACCTAACTAATCTCTACTTTCCTTTAATTTCTTTCTGTCTAAATCATCAGGAAAAACAAATTACACCTTTCAAAGGTAAGTGTAACCAATTGGTTTTACAACAGTTCCTCACCTGGTGGGAATCTTGACTCGCAGATATCGGTCGATAGCGATAGCTAGCAGGGATAGGATGGAGCTCTGGGTGATGATCAGCAGCAGGCAGGAGAGGAAGAGGCAGGTGTAGAACTGAGTGTTAAATCGCAGACTGATGACAATCGCCAGAGGGATGACCAAAACCCCCACAGCGATGTCAGCCACAGCCAGAGACACGATGAAGCAGAAGGTGGTGTTGCGGAGAGCCCGGTTCACACACACAACCAGCACCACCAGCACATTCCCTAGCACAGAGGCCAAGGCAATGGCTGTCTCCATGGAGATGTACATCATGTCCACATGCTCCCGAGGCTTTATACCGGGAGAGGAAGACATTTTTACTATTCACAAATTTCGCTTACCTTTACTCAGATTTTTTAAAAATTCTAATTGCTTAACTTCTTGCCTCCACGTAGAGGTTTGCTTCAGCAAAAACATTTTATTATTTATATCCCATGGCTGTAAAAAAAAAAAAATAGGAAAAAAAAGTGTACTTTTCCTCTTTGCCACATTCACACAATGAGTGGCCCTTATGCTCATGAAGGGATGTCGGATGATTAATCCTCAGCTTGCTCAACAAGCGCAACGCGGACTGGGTACCAGTGCATCACTGCTCTTCTACATCCTTACTCTCTCTCTCCTTCTCACTCTCTCACTAGTCTGTAAATACAAGTCATAAAATCAAGGGGAGGGGACTTTGCTTTCTGCAGCAACCCTGCAGCAATAGTTTCTCACATTAAGTGTGTGTGCGTTTGTGTGCGTGTGTGGTTTTTGAGAGGAAGTGTCAGCATTATGTAATAACTGGAAGGATGCATTTTGATAAGAGTTTAATATTACATGGTCTCAAATAACTGATACCAAAGATGGTGTTATAGAGTATATAGAGTCGATATTGCATAGTTTGTCCATCAGACAGTGCCGATAAGTTTGCTTCAACTGCTCCACACTTGCTTTGGTCATAATTCTTTATTAACCAAACTTGCAGGGGATCCTTGTCAAAATTAGTTGTTTCTAACTAATAGTTCTCTTAAAGAAATAAAGGCCAATATATTATGCTACTCTTAACTGTCAAAAATCCATTAGCCAGTATTCTCAAAAATCCAGTATCACTCGACTTCCCAATAATAACAAAGCTCCAGGAAGTCACTGCCCTCAGCCAAAGAACAATACCCTCGTAAAAACCATGTGTTCTTTTAACGCTTTTGCGCGGGTCAAAAAAACAAAAAATACTTTATTAGTTAGTGAGCTTTAGGAGTGTTGGTAGGTGCTGATTTTGTTACCTTTAGGTAGAACAAGGCTGTGTTTCCTCTGCTCCCAGTCTTTATGCTAAGTTAACTAGATGCTGGCTGTAGACAAGCAAGGAAGCACTGGGTCTGAAAAGTAAAGCCTTAAGTGTATGTAAGTGCCTTAAACCTGCAGTCTTTCTAATGACCAATTGTATAAAAGGTATTTGACAGAATCACCCTACTTTTCACTTGATTTATTACCTCAGTAAACCCTTACCCAGTAAGTTTATCAATTACTAGTTTCATGTCATCTTCCAAACAGCATGATAGTGTTGTAGTCAAGCCCGCCCAAACCGAGACCAAGTCAAGACCAAGACTTTTAGGGACTGAGACCAAGTTGAGACCAACACAGAGGGAGGGCGAGACCGAGTCAAGACAGATCCACATTCCCATTAAAACACCCACATACAAACACTAAGAGCTAAAATCAATGTAAGCATCGCCATCGCGGGGAGGAGTGACAGTCGTTAACGGTAACAACACATTTTTAATTAGGGTTATTGGTTGCATTTGAAGCAATACGTTTTACATCCAATCAAAGTTAGGATGATAACAAATATATCAGACAATGCAAGAGCAATTTATTTATATTCCCAAAGTTATGGTCTTATAAGTCTTAAGTCCGGTCTAGAGACCAAGACCGGTCTCGAGTACTACAACAATACAGCATGATGTATGAGTATGAGCATGAGTATAGATGATAAACAGGATATGCTGTAGGGCATAGATACCTTATGATTATATACATATATTGACACATGAGAGACATGGGGTTAATTGAAGTTCTGTAGTGACAGGTGGTTGAGGTCCATCAATTCCATTAATTTTATCTACTAAAATTAGTAGTTTGCATTTAATTTTAATGGCAAATTTTTAATTATTCTTTGGTTTATTCTCCACATGAAGTCCAGCCGTTCTATAACTTGGACTCTGCAGGGTAAAATGCAGGAAGGAATTAGATCCAAAAGTTCTATTACTTACTAAAACTTAATTTAATTGTCCATCCGAGCATGAAAACACTTTGGCAGCAAGTATCACTGAGCAAGCAATCACTGAGATGGTCTTCAGCTGCTTAAGGAAGCAGATTCAATGCCTGCCTGTAAATATATTCAGTCTGATCACTGACTTTTTTTTTAAAGAATAACAATGACTCAGGATGTTGTTTTAGGACATTGGCTATGATCTCAGGCTCTGGTCTATGCATTAGAGCATTCATGAGCTCAAGCATCATGCATTAGTCTACATGCATTATCGCATTATTATTATGCAATATCTGTAAATGTAAGCACTGCAGTATGTATCAAAGATATTGGTTCAGCACTCAAGAACACCATTACTAATTTTATATATGTGTGTGTGTCTGTGTGTGTGTGTGTGTGTGTGTGTGTGTACTTTTATTGGTCACCCTGTTGTGATTTGCTTGTTCCCTCCCACCCATTCCAGTAATGTAAAAATAATGAATGTAACATGACTGAGAAATTACATTCTTCTGCAGCATAAGTGATCAATTGTTAGTATCTATCCCTATGAAATTGCTACCAATTCAGACATTTTATTAATTATTATTAAGGGTTTTGGCCTATATAAGGCCATATTAGTGTCTTTGAATTATCATGTGCACCATCTTAAAAATATATAGCCTACCCCCTACCATTATACATTTATACTATCAGTGCTGGCACAGATGGACACACTCAAAGCAACTCACAGAGCAGGTAGAATGCAAGTATTTTAGGGAAAGCAGGGTTTGGTACACAGATGATCAGTCCAAGAAGGCAAAGGTATCCAAAATTGCTAGGCAAGTACACAAAAGGGTAGGTCAAAAATAAACCAGATAAGAAGAAGAAGAAGAAGAATGTGTGTGTGTTACAACACTCACTATTGTCAGGATGCACCATGTGTTCAGGCAGAAACACTGACACAAAACAAGGCTGAAACCTGGGGGCAGGAGTTGTTCGGACCACCAACAAAGAACCACGAGCAGGGGTCGATCGGACCACCGCCGGGAAACCGGGCAGGTCAGGGATCCCCTGTATGGCTCCAGTGAACAAGCTAGCCTGCTAGCTAGCTGGTAACTAGCATACTGGTTGTTAGCAGCCTGGAAGCTACTAGCTGGCTGGTGGCTAGCATACTGTGTTCTAGCAGGCCGGTGGCCAGGCGGTGAGATGCCAGTTGTTCTCAGGTGTGGAGCAAACAGGCATGAATGCAAACCTGTGAAAGACATTAGGTAATCAGGAAAATAGGAAGCAAAACTAGACGCCGACACTGCAGACACTGATGATTTCACAATAAACAGGAAGTAAAGCATGCAACAACAGACTAGGATGAAAGTACCAGAATATAACAGAACGCATGCACAAGTATCAGACAATTCTAAACCAGAACACAGAACTAGACCACAGGGGCAGGGAATGAATCAACAATCAACAAACATGGGAAATGGCAAAATGAGAAGAAACAACAACATAACAGGCCAAAGCAAAACTGAAACAGGAAACATACAGAACACAAAACCAAAACCCTAACAACTATAGCTGCAGTTACATAGGCAATATTTCTTCAACCTGATTAAAATCATGCTGATTAGAGATTTCAACCTAACTGTTTACAATGATGCTAAATAAATAGATCTGATAAGAAATGTGTTTACATGCCATAAAGTTAATGACAAGATAACTTTTCTGACATGTGCAAAGTTGTTTGCCCGCTATGAAGTGTCTAGTTTAGAAATATAAGAGAAGAGAGATTTGCATTTCTGCGGGCTACATTCATATGGATTCAGCACTTTTCAAACCCCAAAGCCTTAAAGACTCTTGATATATATATTTCTTAACTGCCTGAACTACTGATTATATGGGTTTTAGGGCCACCAGAAACACTGCTTGATGATGAACATTGTCCATTTAAGATCAGGATGGCACAATAGAAGGGAGGTGAGAGCAAAGACATATTTAGCAATAACAAATGACAAGGTATCCTGATAACCAAATTGTGCACAAGGCAGGGTTGAAGATTTACAGAATGCAAAACAGTTCCATGCATGTTTTCGTTGTTTGTGGAAGAAATTTACACACACTACACATAATATGTTTGAATACCTTTTACTGCACAAGTTTGAATACCTACACTGCATATGTATATATCATTTTACTTTCCATTTTGACTGTGGTCCAAAGAGGGAAGGGAGGCATTTTAACAACATGGCACAGAATCCAGACAGTAGGCCTATGCAGTCTATAAAGTATTCATTAGCCTACTAGGATAACACGAATACCCGGCCCACTTTGACTCCAAGCCTAGTTGTAAAAGTTGTAACTAAGTTACCGCCAACAGCTAGCTTCACAGCTGAGGCAGCTAACCATTATCTTAACAACATAGACTGTAGTCTAGGTAACACTGACAGCCTCAACAAGATGCTAGCTGAACTTCCTATTTTAAGGAGCTGAATGGATGGAGAAAATGTACTTTATGATATAATAAATAATTTGCTAAAGTAATCGTAATTGTCACTTATTACCTTAACATTATGTGGTTTGACTTCTTGTGTGTGGTGGTTTTACCATCTCAAATTACTTTTCACATATTTCAGCGTAACAGTTTTATTTCTCTGGATGATTTAAACTTTTCTTTATTTTATGACTTTTGGTAAAGGCTCCAGTATTCTCTGTCAATTTTTCCAGTCAGTAACTTTGGTATGATAGCAAAAATTCTTTGCTGAATACAGTTTTTAGTCTATTTTTAAAGCGTTTACACAGTTCTGATTGTGATTGATAAGATGTTTGAAGTGTGAACATGAGGGCTGAGAAGTAACCAGTGTGTTGGTGGTGGTTGATTTTGTGCTTCCTTCTTTCTTGAGTGTTATGGGTAAAATTGCTTCATAAAAACATTTTCAAGAAGAACTAGGCTATTTAGTTCCTCTCTGTACTGCGGCTATCATCACTTTCATAGTTGGCTATTTACTTATAACAATAATAATAATAATAACATACATTTTTGGTAAAGTCATTGGCTTTGCTTGTCACAGAGAAAAAATGCCAGCTCAGAAATACTCAGGCTTCATTCATGATGATAAAGCAAGTGAAAGTGGTCAGCCCCTTCTGACCCTTATGAGCTTGTACACAGTAATCACAGTTTTTAATTACTTGATCACACAATACTGGCCCATAAGTCAGTTTTACATTGTCATGTAAAAATAGAAGACAAGCAAAACCCAGCTGAGAAAATGTAAAACAGTTTGAAAAAAAAAGAGTTTCCCTCCCCAAACCCCTCATTCAAACAAATGATGAAGATAAAAAAGGCAAGCAAGGAGAGACCAATAAAGAATACAATTCTATGTAGGAAGATAGAAACCAGGTCTCTTATGTGATGGATGTGTGTTCACAGTACAACACCTCTACTGCAGATAAGACGAGTTAAAAAGGTTGTTTTCTGTGATGGCTTTTTCATTTATTATTTTTTTGTAGTTCTGTGGAAGAATGTCTTCCAGCTGAAAATGTGGTGCTAATACATAAACAATCCAAAAGGGAAGTAACAGGAAAGTGTAATTTAGTTTGCCAATAATGTTAATATTTTGTTTATGGTGAGACAGCTGAGATGATTTATTATTAACTGTGTATCATTAGATGATGCATATACCAACACCCCCACAACCGCAACAAGGTTGCATAGGTTTAGATTAGGATCAGCGTGAGAGGAGCGGGGGTTATCAATTATCAATTATGCATTCAGTGCTTATTATAAAATAAACTAGGCCTATATGTCATATTGATGTTTTAAAAAATCCTTAATTATTGTTCAGTCTATTGTCGACAGTATATGTCACTGTATGATGAATGCAGCACAAAACCAGCTCAGTCTTGACTAGCCCTGCCACTGTCGCTGACTTGTTGATTTCAGTGTCGCTATCTGAATGTGGTTCTTTCAGGCTCCAGGGTGGTAGTTTCAAAACAAGGAGTCCCTGACTCTGTAAATAATCATAAAATTTCTATGCATCTAGGATTACTTAAAGCTGCTTATGTGAGCTAATAGGAATGCAAATTAATATTAGTATTGGCAAATATTTATCTTTAATTTAAATCAGTTCCATTTGTTCTCAAGAAGTTAGTCTCATTTCCTCACAACAGAAACCTAATAAGGGCTCTTATTATAGACTTTAACACAAATATCATCCATATAATCTAGTACAAAAGCATACAGTTAGATTGTATCATATTACAGCATTGAAAGTGAAATGCAATCTTACACTAACAAACAAATATGACATACGCTTGCAAAGCATTGCACACACACAGAAAAAGCAGATTGGCTAGGGACTTCCTCAAAAGGTTTCACAAGACCGAGATGAATGATAAATGGCTCAGCACATTCAGGCTCACACTCACATTCAGACACGCCACACCCTTTACCATCAAACATTAGCTGGATAGGACTAATAATGGATGTAGGGGTTGTGATCTACACGTTGTTGGAGGTGCTCATTGCTGTTAGCTGCTGTCTTGGTAATATGTTGGTTATTTTGGCACTGTGGACCAGTAAAAGCATTCAGCAACCTACCTTCTGCCTTATTGTCTGTCTGTCTGTGGCTGACTTGATGGTTGGCTGTGTGGCCATACCGTTGGCTGTGCTGGTGGACGGACGAGTCAAGACTTCATTCTATGGCTGTCTCTTCATCAGCTGTGTGGTCATCCTGTTGACCCTGGTCTCAGTTTTGTCTCTCGCGGCTATTGCAGTGGACCGATTCCTCCGTGTGTATGTCCCTCTCAGGTAAAAATTCATAATCTTTACATTTGTATCTATTTTATCTTAACCTTAATTGATGATACCAATCATTATTGCTTTTTTCTATAGGTACAAAAGGACTGTAACACAGAGACATTCTTGGCTTGCAGTAGCAGCATGTTGCCTTGTTGCAATACCACTGAGTTTTGCTCCCATGCTTGGATGGTACGAGCATAAAACCTTGCCTAACCCAGGCAACTCTACTATTACCTGCCGGTTTATATCAGTGATCCCAATGTCATACCTGGTTTACTTCAACTTTTTTCTCTGCACCCTGATACCTCTGTTGGTGATAACTTTCTTGTATGGCTACATTTTCTGTACTATTCGAGGAAGTCTTCGAGAGAAACCAGGCAACGGTTTCCAAAAACAATCTCAGAATTACCTAAGGAAAGAGAAACAGCTGGCAGCATCTCTGTCTCTGGTCTTGGCTCTGTTTGCCCTGTCCTGGCTCCCTCTCCACATAATGAACTGCATTGTTTACTTTGGTGGACCGAATGATGTACCAAAAACAGCTTTCTACATTGGCATCCTGCTTTCTCATGCTAACTCAGCTGTAAACCCAGTTGTGTATGCGTTCAAAATACAAAAGATCAGGACTGCATACCTGAAGCTCTGGAGAGGATATATTGGATGCGGAGAAGAAAATCAAGGATCTCAGACAAGCCAGACAACAGACAACAATCTTAGTAGTAACTTACAATAGTAACAGTAAGTAAGTGTTAAAAAATGAGTGAAGGAATATTTCCTTGTTTTAGAGCTTTTTTGTTCCTAAGGACCAAGTTTGACTCACTGTTGTACATAATTAAACATGTTAACATTGTGTGAAAGGTTAAGAAAGTCAGTTCAAATATGTGGATTGTATTGAAATCCTAAAGCTACCTTTTGAATGGATTTTGAAAGATGATGTTCTGTGTATTGATACAGTAAACAAATGTAGCCATCTTTACTGAAAGATCTGTTGTCTTTTATGTTCAGGAATCTGTGTGTCTGCGTGTGTCCTATATATGCAGTTGAGCATGCATGTGTGCCTGCGTGTATTGCGAAAACTGTCTTGCAGACGAAAAGGGCAACTTCCATTTGTCATTTAACTTTTAGCTTCTCACAAAGTTTCACTGTTATTTTTCTGTTTCTGTTCAAGTTTCGGTTCTTCATGTTTCTTTCTGTCTCAAAAATTACCTTCTTACCTATCTTTAGAAAAGGATACAACTTCTAGACTAGAGGTCACTAAGCGAGGACCCAGCCGCTGTCCTCTCCAGACCGCCGACCTACAGCCGCTTTATTTTTGAGACTTACTATCTCGTGACGGAGCGTTTCTATTTTAACCTGCGCAGCTTTTCTAGCATTTACTGTACTGGTTTAGCCATAGGGTTTAGCGGACGAGGAAACTCACAGACCAATCGCATGTGCTCCAATCGTCTCATGTGACGCTGCTCAGCCAATCAAATCTGTGAATTCCGAAGCAAGCGAGTCGAGTCCGCGAGATTCACCCGATTCACCAGACTGTAGATTTTTACATGTACATTCCTCCCAAGGGCAGTTCAAAACCAGAATATCTCATAGAACTCCAATCCTAGCTGGCAGGACAAACTAGAGCTCACGTTTCTCACTGAACAAGTGAAAGTAGGAGTTGTAGCTCTGTAAGAGGGAAGGAAAGAGAAGAGGAGACATTACAGCTGTTCATTTGTTATGATGTGTTGAGTGTTTATTATAAAATTGGTTAAGACTACACTTCATCACTTCAGCTACACTTTTTATTTCATTATTTCAATTTTAGTTTACTTAAATTTAGAATTTATTATTATAGTAGTTATTATTTATTATCCCTCCAGTTTGATGTGAAAACTGACTTAAATATTATTTGATTTGACAGTCCGTTGTTGACTAAAAACATGTTGCTACAACTATAGGTTATGGTACTGAATGATGAAGCAAGTTAGTCATTCTGATGTTCCGGACCTTTGCTTCAGGAAATTTTCTCTAACTGGACCTCTTTGAATTCTTATTGAATACCCTTGTTCGAGATTCTATGTATGTAAACCAGGTCTGTCCACATTTACTGGTGAATTGAGACATCTTAAGTGTGATTGTGTGTGATTGTCATCATTACCATGACAACATGCATTGTACTGCGTACACTTGACCAGAAAAATAGAAACCCATGCACAGTGTAATATAATCCAATATAACAGCTCGGCAACAAGTTATTTTTTAAAACATAAAATGTTTTATTGTTGTTCAGACTGTATCAGACAGGTGTTAATTCAGCGAAACATTTTAAATTTGTATTTTCTTTTTTTAATCTTTAATCTTTTTTTAAAAGTTTCACCAATGTAGAATTTATTGCAGAGCTGTTCTAATGGATGGCATTGGCTATTTTTTTTAAATGAGTTTTTAATATAATAACGAGGTGGCATGGTGTTGCAGTGGTTTGCACTGCCTCACAGCAAGAAGGTCGTGGGTTCAAACCCCGGTTGCCCTGGCCTTTCTGTGTGGGGAGTTTGCATGTTCTCCCCGTGTCTATGGGTGTTCTCTCCGGGTGCTCTGGCTTCCTCCCACTGTCTAAAGACATGCAGACTAGGTTAATTGGTGACCCTAAATTGTCCTTAGGTGTGAGTGTGAGTGGGTGTTCGTCTGTGTGTGGCCCTGCAATGGACTGGTGACCTGTCCAGGGTGTACCCCGCCTTTCGCCCGATGTCAGCTGGGACCCTGTACACAGGTTAAGCAGTTGACGATGGATGAATGGATAAACTGTGTACTGTACAGATTTTGTTATTTGTGTCAGTTCAGTTTATTTTTAATATATATATTGTCTCAAGAGTAAATGCTTATGGATGCGTGTCTGCCAAATTAAGGAAGAAATCCAACCTAAATCCTGTTAATGTCATTAAAATGGCAGCTATTGGCAATGTGCATTGCATTTTGTAATAATGTTTTATATTTGTAAATTTTTTACAAATTACAGTTACACACACACACACACACACACACACACACACACACACACACACACACACATATACATATATGTGTGTGTGCGTGTGTGTGTGTATGTACTAAAAATATACTAAAAAAAGACACCAAACCATCAGCTTTCTTAGAATAAAATATGTACTATATATGTCGCCATTTTGTACCAGCTTTTTTAACTAATATGACAGGACAGTCGCTGACACTTGCTTTTGCAGGTACATCGATTTAATTCAAGTTATCTTTGACTCATCAGTATTTATCTCATTATTCTGTTGTTTTAAAGTTTTAGTGTTTTAATGTTACTCTTATTTCAGAAATCCAGTAGAAGTTCCTAATTTCTGTAGTTACATAGAATAGTTTATTTCGGTTGACATTATAATGTACCAAAAAAATGACAATTTGTGTGAATATGCTCTGTGCAAAAATCTTACGTGCTTACACCATCCTTTTCACACAAAATAATTCACACAATTAACAAACGAAAAAGGAATAGGAATATTTTTTCCGATCTTATACACTAAAATGCAAAATAAGCAGCAATAAGAAAGAAATAAACAAAAGGAGGAACTAAAAAAAGAAACTTATTAGTTATTAGTTATTTGAAACTCCACTGAGAAATACACAATTTCAACTCATCAATACGTCCAATCCATAATTTAACTCCCAAAACTGAAACTCATGTATTTCACATCAGATCTCACTTAACAAGACTTTCTCTATGTAAACAAAAGGCCTATATCTCTCAAATATTGTTCACAAATCTGTCAAAAATCTGTATTAGTGAGCACTCCTCACAGGTGTGGCATTTCAAGATGCTGATCAGACAGAATGGGTATTTCACAGGTGTGCCTTAGGCTGGCCACAATAAAAGGCCACTCGAAAATGTGCAGTTTCATTGTATTGGGGGGTCTGGAAACCAGTCAGTATCTGGTGTCACTGTCTGCAATCTGTCCTGTACAGTGAAAACCGGGATTCATCTGTGAAGAGAACTCCTCTCTAAAGTGCAAGATGCCATCGATTGTAAGCACTTGCCCACTCAAGTCGGTTACGACGTGAAATTGCAGTCAGATCGAGACCCCAATGAGGATGACAAGCATGCAGATGAGCTTCCCTATGGTTCCTGATAGTTAAAGTCAAATTAAATGCAGGTAGATGGATGGATTTATATCTCTCTGTCTCTCTCACTCACATTCTCACTCTCACTCTCACTCTCACTCTCAACCTCAACCGGTCGAGGCAGATGGCCGCCGACTCTGGGCCATGGTTCTGCTCGAGTTTTGCCTTTTGTCGCCAAGTGCTTACTCATGGTGGGAATTGTTGGGTCTCTGTAAATAATAGCACAAAAAGTATGGTCTAGACCTGCTCTATATGAAAATCACTGAAAAGATGTTTCATAAACTGCGTCACAGATTTCACACATGAAACATGGTAAAATATTGACTTGTATATAGATATATTGTAGCTGGCATCAAATACCATCAGTATGTGATATTTTTCCAGCTGACAAAACAAATCATCATGTTTTAATTTGGTTATTCTAGGCCACAAAATTTTTTTAAATTTTAACTTGAGGATAAACCCCTTGAGATGCTCATTTTCAAGGGGGTCCTCAGACACAAAACAGGGAATTTAACAAGCATTTAAAAATAGTAATAATAATTAATTAAACAATGCAAAACAGTCAACTTAGTCACTTCAACAAGAACATACACAGAACAGAAAATAGCACTGCTTTTCATTTATGTGTTTATTGCAGTTGATGATTATTTAATGTCCACTTATTGAGCTAATGAGTCAAACGAATTGGGCTCTGAAGAGTGCATTTTTGGTTTGATGAATATTTCTGATAGACAGTTGAGGCAGGCTGTGTTTTATTGGATTGTTTTGGTGAGCTGATTGCATCCTGAAAATATGGATTAAAAGTTCATTATTGATGAAAAACTGATGCAATGCAACACATTATCTGCAGCACATTACTCCACCAGTTATGAGCTTATTATCATTAATAACACCAGATGCACATAATAACGGTGTCAGATAATTTCCAGAGCGATGATACTCTTTGACCAAAAGATGGCATTAGAGTAGCTGCTTCGCCACTCAGTCAGTGACAGTAAGCTTCATTCCAAGCACTCATTGTACCTCTCAAGGAAGGTAAGAGACTGTATAGTTATCACCTGAGTAGGATTTACTCTATCCCACAAACTATACAACCTACTACCTCACCTTGCTAGGCTCAACTTCAGCCACCAATGAATATCCTTAAAAATAAGACTCCACTATATGTACAAACTTCAATACTTGTTGTTAAAGTAGACCATTACACCGGGTAAATATATAAAGTCTTTGTTTGTTCTGCAGTGTCCTCCTCATAGGTGAGGGATGGGTTATCGCTTTAGTCAGTCCATGAGATCCTTTATCCACGGAGCTTCTCGTGTGCAGACAGGCTTTGGCACTATTGCAGATCATCCTGTCTCCTTAGGAAAGACAGTAGATTGTATAGTTATCACAGAGGGAGGACCTGAACCCCACAACTATTCAATCTACTACCTCAGCCTTAAGGACAGATACTTTTGCTGGTAGTGGTGGAAACTTGTCAGTCGAACTGTGAGACAAAAATTAAGAGAGAATAAGTGAGTTTTTAGATCAGCGTGGGGGCAAACAATGTTGGAAAAAATATTAAATATTCTGTGTAGGTTTAACCACATCTAGTCATTTCAAATTGTGCTTAGAGCAGCACTTTACAGAAAAAAACAGTAAAAACATGTGCACACTGTTAAACCACATTACACTGCCATGGAATGAGTTAGCCTGTAACAGTTTTATCAGGCATGACCTTCTAGGAGCAATTTCCTCTTTAAACTCACCACATTGTAGCCTGAGATCACCGGGCTTACAAACAGCCCGATGGTGCTACTGTGTTTATGTAAGTGATATACAGTATCTGAACACTGGCATTGGTCAGCACAAATGTATTTGGCC